ACTGACTGTTATGTGTGTGTACTAATATATACATAATAAATATACACAGAACACACACATATATTATGCAAACAAAAACTTTTATTTTGTATGCGATTAATCGCGATTAATCGTTTGACAGCACTAATATATATATATATATATATATACACACACACACACACAAATATATTATTATTATTATATACTATTATTGATTAATGTTGTATGTATATGGTTTGGGGTCAGTAAAGTTATTTTTGTAAAGATAAATAATACTTTTATTTAGCAAGGAAGCAGCAAATTAATTAAGTGTGCCAGACAGTAAAGTCATTTATAATGTTACAAAAGATTTATATCTTATATTTAAAAAAATAGAAAAGTGGGTTTCCATTAGATTGGTGTAAAAAGGTTGATTTAATATGGATATGAGTTCACATGATGTCCATACCTGACATGCTTTCTCAATTGTGTCTTGGTATAGTTTTTGAATCACTTTCATTAGAAAGTCATTAACACATATTATAATGTCGAACAGAACAGATTTGTGTACATTCTTAGACAAGTATAGAAATTAATAAATCAAAGTTTAATGATGTTTCAAACTACCTGAAAGTACATTAACCACTGATCTGGCAAATATATTTTAGACTTTGTTTGAATAAATTTAACTTCTTGTCTCTGCAACCCTTCTCTCCAAAAGAGTCTGCCTAGCTTTGGACCGTACTTAAAGACGAAGACTGAAGCCCTGGCGAGGTACAAGAAGATCCTTAAAGATGCTAGCGGCAATGTGATCACAGACACCAGTGATTCTAGAGTTCCCCAAAAAAACATCCCCAAAGAACCCATCCCTAATGTAAAAATAAGATTTAAACCTAAAATCATAGCAAAACACCACTGAGCTCTCAAAAAATATATTATTATTATTATATACTATTATTGATTAATGTTGTATGTATATGGTTTGGGGTCAGTAAAGTTATTTTTGTAAAGATAAATAATACTTTTATTTAGCAAGGAAGCAGCAAATTGATTAAGTGTGCCAGACAGTAAAGTCATTTATAATGTTACAAAAAATTTATATTTTATATTTAAAAAAAAAAAAAAAAGCTCTATTCATCAAAAAAAAAAAATTTTTCAAAAAATGTTTCACTATGTCCACAAAAAAAATATTAGGTAGCACAACTGTTTTCAGCATTGATAATAATAAGAAATAATTAGCATATTAGAATGTGTTCTGCAGGATCATGTGACACTAAAGACTAAAGTAGTGGTAAAGTAATGGCAGCTGAAAATTCAGCTTTGTAATCACAGGAATAAATTACATGTTAAAATATAATAAAATAGTAAACTCTTAAATTGAAATAATATATCATAATATTACTATTTGTACTGTAAAAAAAAAACAGCCGTAGTGAGCAAAAGAGAACCAAAAGTTTTGAATGGCACTGTACATATATTAATGAGCTTTTTTGATCATTTTTAGTAAGTTGTTATTATAAGTACACGTTATTTTAGGTACACGCAGATGGCTGCTGGATCATATCCCACTGTTTTTCAGTATCTTACGCCATGAACACCATGTTTTTGTAAGAAATGTCATGTTCAACTTGTTCAAAAAAATTCATTTACATACAGGACAGGTGGCATATAATTAATTGTTCTTTTTAAAATCCCATTCCTTTTTTAGTAATAAATCATCTCGTTAGTTTGACAGAGTAATACATACATTACTCAAACGAAATTCACCAACACGTCCTCAACAGCTTGTCCTCGTGTAATCTGTGAGGCTGTCTTGTAGCACATGCACTTTTCCTGCTCATAACATTAAAAGACTTTATTCCTCGAGGTGATTATGCTGTGAGGGATCTCTAGGAGGGAATGGAGATCACAAACTACCAGTCAGACATCAAAACCGATCCGCTCCTTCCAGCGCTGATTTAATTAAGCTAACCTAAGAACGGAACGCTGCCTTTCAAACTGTTTCTTTTGAGACGCGACGCCACGGCTGTTTTTCTTGCTGTTTAATCCCTGCCTCTCCTCTCGGCAAAGGATGTGATTGCCAGAGCGCTGATGCATATTGGCGCCTACCAGGAACTGGACAACACGGAACAAGTGCAGGCCCTCGTCGATCCAGAGATGTGTATCAACTGTGGCAAATGCTACATGACCTGCAACGACTCAGGCTACCAGGTACAGATGCACACTTTAGATAATTTCACGATACGGTGTTTACGGGAAAGCAATTACTAGTGAATTTCGTTTGCTAAAATGCGCAAGCTAGCGAATGTTTTCTGATTATATGTTGTCTTTGGAGGTCACCCGATTATAGAGTTAATTCACCACCATTGGCCTTGCATATTGAAAACATAAAGAGACAAACGCAGAGTCTTAAATGAATAAGGCTGGTGTGTGACGAAGGAGGCCAGCTATTTACCTTAGAAAACGACACTGTTGTGCTAGCTGCTGTCATTGTTGTTGCTTTTTTCCCTCCATGAAAAGCTCTCCCAGGAGTGGGAAATCCACCTATGGAGAGTCGATAATTGCTCTAATGTAATAGCTTTTTTTCCCCTCCCCTTCCTCTTCTTTTGCAGGCGATTAAGTTTGACCCTGAGAGCCATCTTCCTGTAATCACGGACAGCTGCACCGGCTGCACTCTTTGCCTGAGCGTGTGCCCCATCATCGACTGCATCAAAATGGTTACCAGGACAACGGCGTACGTGCCCAAGAGGGGCCTGCCTGTTTATCCCGTTTGCTAAAGCGCACCGTCGCTCCACCTGACCGGAGAGAAAGAAAACCAAGGAGCCACGTTTCATTCAAAGCATCGATTCCACTTCTAATTGCTGTGTGAAAAATTACCTTTATTATGAAAACGAATAATTAGCCAGCAGAAATAATTGCCTTATTCCCAAGCCAGTTATGCTAGAATAATTGTGCTGGCAAAAAAAGAGTTGCATTATTTCAAAACAACACAGTGCAATGTTATTTTTTGTCAAAAGTGAGAGGGAGGATTGATTGAGAAAGATGGTGAAGTGCTGTTGTTTTCTCTGGTAAAAATGAATAGCAATAAATAAAATAATAAAGCAATTGACAGTATTGAAGTCTCATTTTCACAGTATTATTTTGAAACTCGGGAAAATTAATTATGTGACTGGTAAGTGATTAATAATAAGCATAATAATTTATAAAGCAGATTTGCTTTGTTTAATGTTTGTTAGTAATTAAATCGCAAGGTTTCCAATGATAAGCAAATTAGTTCCAAAAACATGGTTTTTAAAAAGTACAAGCCATAATTAATTTGAATAAAATATCACTAGACTTATTGTGAGTTTGAACAGTTTCACTCGCAGATTGTTTAGGCTTCTTGAAGAGCAGCTTTAGGTTTAGGCACAGACTGAACAAATCGTTCTAATGATGTTTAGAACGCTTCCTCTAATGTCCCAACTGATTTGTTTTGCAAAACAAAGCATTCATTGGAGCTGATGCAAACACGAGTCTGAGAGGTTTATGCTGAGTCTCTGTTGTGTTGATATGATCTTCCTATAATTGTTACATCTGCGAACAAACATCCGATTGGGAGCAGTGGACAAGACGGTAGACGGAGTTAATTAAAATGCTATCGTTTTCATCTCCGAGATGCAGACCGCTCGTTGTAGTTCCGTGTTTGAAATGCAAGAAAACGCTGCTTTTGAAAAACAGCAGCCAGACATGTCAGAGTTATTTCATCATTTATTATAACCGCACAATAACAAGGGATTAGAACGAAAACCGGGCCGCCATAAATCTAAAGTTTGTACTGGAGCTCCATTAATTTGGCCACGACTTAGCTTGCTTTGTAAAAATGTTTGCCTTTGAAAAATTAGCAACCATGCCAGGCACGATGAGAAGGTTCAGCAAATTTACTGAAGTCCCTTAAGCACGCTCATTATTAGCTGTCAGCACTGCACTTCAACAGCCTTACAGATATGTTTCAACGATTGTAATGTTTTACATTATTTGCACTTATCTTGCTTTTTATTAAATTGTTCTTTTTTAATATTACTATTATTATTATTATTATTATATCAGGACCAAATCATATTTCCATATGCACAGCCTCAGGTCAATAAGGAGTATATAAATTGCGATAGTTATCACAGTAAGTTGTGTGCTGAAGCTGAATCCTCCCTTGCAGCATATCTCTTCCCCCAGCTGTCATTCATACATCACTGTGCAACAACCTACTTCCTCCGTCTGATTGCAATTAAGAAATGATGTGTCTGGACCCTGGCCAGGCATGCCAGGTTAAATTATTCATAAATGTTAATAGGACAAACGAGAGCACACCCTCTTTTCCTTCTCCTGCTCCCCTTCCTAAGTACCATATTAGAAAAATAATATTGACCTTTCCGTCGTAACGCCCACATGTGACATCGAGAAGCTGCCGCTCTATAATAATGTCCATGTCTTTTCGAAAAGCACACAGAGATGGGCTCTTCCTCTCTGACATGCAGGGCCGTTTCTAGGCATAGGCGAGCTAGGCGGTCGCCTAGGGCGCCACCAGCTGAAGGGGCGCCAATGAGCGTACGTACTGGCACTTTTAGCAGGGTTGTGATAAAGAGTGGCACGGTCACCCTGAAATATGACTGCCACCCCCACTGGATCCCCCAACATTATTGGGCTAGAGTACTGTCAATCTGACGATGCCTGTATGCCACTAGATCAGAGTGCTGTCAATTGCTGCCTGATTGTTGCATGCAAAGTTTGCATTTGGAGCGCTCAACAACGCCATTAGATCAGTGGGCTCTGTCAGTGCTTTGGCAAGGTAACACTTTTTTTTTGCCATGCAATAAAGCTAAGTTCAAAGGCCAATTTAAAATATTGGTACAGTAAATAAAGTGCACAAAATCAGTATTTTGTGTAGGCAGTATTTGTGGCACTTTTGTGGCACATTTGTCCAAATATTTGTGGCAGATTTGTCCAAAAAGGTGTGCGTTTTTTGCGCCAATGCATTGTTAAAGGATCAGCGTGTCATGTAATATTCCCATATAAACTTTAACATCCAATTAAAAAATATTGGTATAGTAAAAT